CTTCCATCTAGCTGCTCTGCAACAATAACCCAATCTGTGGAGAATCCGTTGAACAGAATTCGGGCTCATCCCACCAACTTTGGCCACTTCTGCAGTCGTTAATCTGGGATCCTATTTCGATGCACCTCTTGACAGCCCTTTTTGTCCTCTCCGATGTACCAGGACGACCGGGATGCTGCTCAGTTGTTTCCTTGCCATGTTTCCTGAACTGCACGATGATTCTGTTGACTGTCGAAAGCGGGATTCCCAAATTTTGCGAAATTTGCCGCTGACTTATTCCATCATCTGCTTGACTAACTATCCTTCCTCTAACAAAATCTGACAATTCGAGAGAACCTTGAGTTCTAGGCGGACCGTTTTCATTTATATAGTGCTCAGTGAACACAAATTAGTTAGCATAAATCAGTTAAATGACGAAAAATTAGGTGTCTATTTAATTGTGACCACTCAGTGTATATTGCGAATATTTGTTTACGGTCCGTTCTTCTCATGAATACAGCAATGAGTCTTTAAGGATTAGAATAGAACCTTATATTTATTTTTACCATAAGTAGTGTGTAAACTATATCGAATCTTTATTTAATTTCTGTAGTGCATATTGGCTTATAGAAGGCATATTACATACTATAGAAGATTTCTTTAAGCTTTGTACTGTCAGTTTCAGTTTGTATTTTAGTGAACGTGTGTGTGTGAAATAAGAAATACAATGTGGCGTCATCTATTGATCGGTGACACAAACAAAAATCCATAAAAACATTTCACACTTTGGGTATTCAAGATCCAGATAATTAGAAAAATAACTGTGGTATGTACAACAAACATTTCTTTATAATAGAACACAACTTTAAATAAAAGTACTCTCCTAACAACAAGAACACGACTTTCATTAGGACTGTACATGAGGGTTTGATTATATCTTTTCTGATGTAATTTTTAAATATAGTACTGAGAAACTGGAGTTCAAAAAAAAACTTCTTTTTTTTCAATTTATGAACATTTTTAGCTTTGTACAGTGAACCATTTTAATGCAATGAGTTGCGTATGACAAAAGAGCACTTTTTCCCGTGCAGTACTTCCCAGAAAAAAAGAAAAATCTTTTTTTAGAAAATGTTCACTTTTTCTGGATTCTTTTCAATGAGGTATAAATACTACAATTAGTAATTACTGGCACAAACATCCGTCCGTAGGGCGGCGTTTCTGCTAGTATTAATAAATATCAAACCGTTCAGTTTTACAAAAACAAAACTAAGAGACCATGCATGTAGCATGTTTTATTCAAAGACTATACGTATACTGGTGTTAAAGACTTGTCAGACACACGAAGTGTAATTACAAAGTAAAAGCCAGACGTCTTGGCAGCAACTGTCGTCTTTTTTCTTCCCCTCACTGGCATGCAGATATTCAAGATTACTCGTATAAAACTAGTATCATCCTCCAGACACGATAATAAATAAGTAATTTTGTTTATTTTTTGTCAGAATAAAGACTGGAAATATTTATCTGTAATAGTATTTCGCCACATACTATGCCAACATCTACAACTGCGCGGTGTACGTCGACGTACGTCGAATGCAACAGTCTCGAGCAATGCAACACTATATAATACTAGTATTTTTACTTGCCTCAGTGATTGATGCTCAGATTATGGCCTCCAGGAATATTTGATTTTACGGCAAAATATAATAACTAATTCCAAAGAAATGACCCTGCTATCCAAAAAAAGAAAAAAAACTAAGCGTTAAGCTTACAGAGGGCCCAGCATTCAAAGATAGGTAGTGGTAGAAAAAAATATATAACGTATGTGCGTGTACAGAATGTGAATTACAAGCATATGTGCTGGTGTATAACTTATATGGTGTTTTAAGATGTCTTTTACTCATACAATTACCTTAAAGTTATATAAGAATTCCAAGAATATGCGGCATTGATGCTACTAATTTATTCTCGTGAATTATTCAGCCAACAAGCTGTTTTAAATACTAAGATCGGTCTTCATATTTATTTTTATCATTTGATTTACTACTTGTCATTGACTTCTACCCTTCATCAGTAACCCTGGACAACGGCATGTTGGAAGTATAAGACTAGACTTCGTATAATGATGGAGTGTATATTATATGTATGGTGTCTTGAGATTTCTTCTACTCACACAGTGATTCTATGTTTATAAAGGAATTTCAAGAATATGGATTAAAATACTAGGGTTACTGATGAGAGTTGGAATTCCTTGAAACCTATATAACTCAGTGGCAGGTAGTAAATCGCATCACGATATTAAAAACATCTGTTTATAATTTAAAATTTTTATTATGATACAAGTTTTTCCATTTTTGATTTAACAGCAGTGCAGCGGTCGGCCTGCCATGGCGTGATGGACAGTCTTCGACTCACAATCTGCAGGTCGCGATCGCAACCCGTCTCTGAACATTCTCGCCCTGTCAACTGTGGGGGCGTTTTAAATTGGTGGTCAATCCCATTTTGATTGTCAATAAATAGCCCAAATCGCACCTTCATTCTAGGTAATCTAGTCTATCACTTCAAAATTAGGGACGACTAGCGCAGATAGCCTAAACAAATTACAGCAGTCTCTGTGTTACTTTTCATACAGATTCTATTGGTAGGATTAAGTATTTGCTCTGTTGGCTGAGGTTAATCTAATTTCTGTGTAGTATATATTATATTTTATACACATCGTTATGTTAATTATGTTTCACTTAAACTTCATATTTCAAATGGAAAAATTATTAAATTCTCTGTGTTGGAGAAAAGAAAATTTGAATTTTGTGCATATAAATTTAGATACCCCAGGTTGCTCGGCAGCAAATCTGAAGGTTTGTAACACTAAAAATCGCGATGGGCAAGGGCGCAAATAATCCATTGTGTAGCTTTGTGCTTTATAAGATACAAATAAATTTTTGTTTTGTTTCTGAGCGCAGAGCTACACAATGGATAATTGCGCCCAAATCCGAAATCCAACCCCGGATTTTAGTATTGTAAGTTCGAAAATATATTGCTAACCCACCGGAGGAACCAAGCAAACAAAATATAAATGTGGAATGAACTTTTATTTATTTTTGATCTTGGTTACATTTTATTCAGTTGAAATTTTTCCCCCTAAACTGGTAACTTACTAGATTATTTAGTGAGAGGAATTTCGTTTATTTTAAACCCAGATTCAAAATACTGACAATATTATCAAATATTTTTAAGGACTTTGTTTGATGAGCCTAATCAGTGAAATATTGCAATGGTTTAGAATGGGGGGGGGGGAGAGTTTGTTACCATGCGAAATCTCAACAAGGGCTTAATAACGTTAAACGTTTTCGTAAGTATATTCCTTAATCAAATTTAGGAGAAAGTAAATTTGTAAACATATAAAGGATTTTCATTTTCTTTTCACTATTTCAGTGGGAAAAGTTGCGAATCTCTCCAGTAGAACGACGAAAAATCTTGTGTTCCATCACTTTTCATGCCATCGCCATTACCTGCGTCGTATGGTCCCTCTATGTTCTTTTAGATCGCACTGCAGAAGAAATGAAATCTGGTGCTCTTGAGTGGCCTTTCTGGACCAAGTTACTCGTTGTAGTCATTGGCTTTACGGGTGGTGTTCTTTTTATGTATGTACAGTGTAAAATGTACGCACAGCTCTTTCAGCGGTGGCGGTCGTACAATCGCGTCATTTTGGTTCGAAATGCTCCCGAAAAGCAGATAATTTCTACTGGTTTACTATCTTTGAAGGGAGAGGATGTCGAAAGCACAGCAATGATAGACGAGGAGCATTCGAATGAAGTGTCACCGGTTGAGGAATTTCACAGCTGTAACAGCGGTAGCAGTAGTGCTTTAACAGTCAATGAGAGAGAAGTAGAGGATGTGTGTACCAATGATGTAACAAGTAACGTGTCAACAAACGACGAAGATCCTCTTATCGTTGCAGTAGTTGCAGATGGAAATGAGAGTTGCGATACGTGGGGGGCTGAAGACAAGGAAAGTGTGTGACTCAATCATTTACTTTGTGAATAACTGATGCGTGATATAATCATTCTTTAATGGATGTACTTTTACAGCTTTGAATATTTTTTGTTTTTGCTGGTTATAATCAAACTGTATAGCTCAAAATATGGTGTATTTCTTCTGACTTAAAATCGTGAAAACCAGTGATTTTCAAACTTTTCAGGCTTGCGTACCATTTTTCGTTTAAACTTTTTTTTTTTTGAAGTACAAATAAGTTCTAAGTAAAACAAAAACAAAAAATCTAAGAGCCAAAACTAATATTTTAAAGCCTTCCCCATTAATGGGAAGGGCGTGATTGTGGTGAGATTGTTGTCAATTTGAAGGGAAGAAAACACTATGCAGGCGTAAGGCGAGGATAGAAGTGAGGAGGGTTAGTGTGTTTATGTACATGGGAAGTTCAAATTGGGATTATTACAAGTTTTGTAACTTCAGTATTATTTTTTAGCGTACCACCTACATTATCTCTACGTACCACTAGTAGCACGCATACCACAGTTTGAGAATCATTGATGTAGACCTTCTAATTCCGTATCATCCAGTACTATAATTAACAAGGTAAGTACGTCAGGTATATACTTATAATTGAAGTTATGAAGTGACGAGCGTATTGTATTTATTCTGGAGGTGAGGCAGTAATAATGTCTAAAGTATAGCCAAGAAGTAAATAGAGCGACCAAACATTTTATTGTAATGTGATAATTTTCACATGGAATGTTATATTCATCTAGGTATGGCGTTTTTAATTTATGTACTAGAAATTTAGAATCTTCTAATCGTCTTCAGTTTACTCTCTGGCTTTCAATGAGCTACTGAACTATTCGGTGATGTCCATTGCAACTTGTAGATTATACTGTTCATCAATTTTAATTCTCTATTTACCATTACTAATCGTATTTACATTTTAATTCTAGTCAAGATACCTTCGTCTTTCCCAATTCAACGATAATCATTTTTAAAAAATCAGTTGTTGAGCATTTTGGCACATCAAAATGAGTAAATGATACAAAAATAATGTATCGACAGTCCTCACAAGCTTTTAAAATTTTAGTTGTCAAGTTTCTTATATTTCTTTGTCTGTATTAATATTGCAATATTATTGTTTTATCGGAAATTTTTTAAGTTATAAAAACTGCTTTTATATGAAATAAATTGAATAGTTCAGTTGTGCGTAACGCGTCATATTTATTTGTAACTGTACTTCATTAATTGAAATATACAAGTGTAGGTTATAAACCATATTTTAGGCATGTATTAATAACCATAATCGTCATGTCTTGAAATTCTTCCGTTATATGTAATCTTTATTTTGCAGTTGACTATAAGAACCCGTAATTTTGTATTTGATTTATTTGTACGTATTAAGTGGTGATGGTTTAAATGTTTATATATATTTCAGATATAATAGTTTTGTATTACAAGTCTTTTTTTGTGTGTTAGATCCGTTTCGAGGAAAATGAAGTGTTTTTTTAAAATAATATTCAAAAAATATATTTTAGAAGTGCATCCAAAATACATATGTGTTTGCACTGGACAAATACAATAAGTCTTCCCCATATGCTAAATGTAAGACAAGAATTAAATAAAACATATTTCAAAAGACTAATTATGGCCAGTTTCTTCAATGCGCGAGATATCGGTGAAAATGGTGAAATATGCCAATAACAGTTAATACGTTAATATTCCATCTAAGAGAAAATTCACAATTATTTGTAAAATTGATTAATAATTTGTTACTCTGTTGATTAAAATAATACTATTATCAAAATAATGAGGATTCGCATTTTTAGGATTATATGATATTACTAATTGGACTTTATAGACATTTTTGACTTACGCTGAGTTTCTGTATAAATCTGTACAGGTGCGTTCTATTTTTGTAAGAAACGTTTGCAAGATATTAAACAATGACCGAGTAATTTAAAAGTTATGAGATTAAACTAAGTTGAATATTGCTCACTAGATGGCAGCACTATATAGTTATTTTAAAAATCGCGTATTACTTTTTTAAATCTCGAGAAAATATATTCAAAACACCAAATGAGCCATCAGTGAACACTTGTTTCTATAAAAAGAGTTAACAATTACATTAACATGAATAAAGACCTTCACATAACTAACTTCCTGGTCACACCACGAGTGGTTCAACCAAAAAGTTTTAACAGTCAAGATACCACAGCACAACTACTTATCATACAAATAACCATAACAGAAATACAAGAAGCACTGAAAGAAAAGCACAAAATAAGGCCCCGCGCTAAGACAGAATACAATACATACTAATCAAAGAGCCCTATGCAATTGTACGAGCATCTAACGGCAATATTCAATCAAATCAGACTACATACGAGTAGATATTTTAATATTTCTGAAAGAAGGAAAGTCGGCCAATAGACCAGAAAACTACAGACTAATCAGCCTAACCAGTTTTATTGGCAAATTTATAGAGAAAATCATCCGTTTCATACTATTTGCATATCTCAAACTGGCATCAAAGTTATCAGAAATACAAAATGGTTTCCGAAAATCAGGACAAACTACAGACCATTTAGTACGACTCTCAGAAACCACAATAAACGGTTTTAATCGGAATTAATGCACTGTCGCCTACTTTCTCGATGTTGAGAAAGTCTTCGACAGTGAATGGCAACAACGGGTTAAAATTTCAATATCCCAAATGAAACTACCACAAGATATTATTCGATGGCTTTCCAACTTTGAAGATAACAGAAAAGCTAGGATAAATATATCGGGCACCTTCTCGGATTATTTAACTGCAGAAGCAGGTGTCTCGCAAGAATGGACAGTTAGTTCTATACTTTTCATTATGTATGTGAGTGAAATTCCTCTGTTATATCTAAATTCCTGTTTCTGTTCCCAGTTTGCGGATGATGTGGCGATATGGAAGAGTTTCTACACTCCAACCATTGCCGCGACTAAACGAAATAGTAAACTACTGTAACACTTGGAGAATCAAAATAAATTATCCAAAAACAAAAAAAATGTTATTTACAAAATCGATTAAAAAGAGTAGACATCTCCCAAAATTATATCTCAACGGAACACTTCTCCATGTAATCACATCAGCCAAATTCCCAGGTCTAATATGTGGTTCAAAACTGAATTGGACCAAACATATAATGAAATCACAAATAAAATATGGCAAAGAGCTAATTATGTACGACGTGTGACTGGCAACAGCAAGGACACAACAACTGAAAACATATTAAATATATACATATATATATGTATAACCTATTAGCAGAGTACCCGTCGTTGCTCGAACGAAAAAAGTTTTAATTATCCTGAGTTGTTTTGATTAAATCAACCATATTTCTTTACCTAACTAAATGTTTTGATTAAAATCAATAAAAATAACAATGTCCGAGAAGAATAAAAATTTGCTAAAGCTAGTTTAATAAAAGCAAAACCGGGTACATTGCTCCTGCTTTTTTGCATGACATTTCAAGCTTCCAAAACAAAAGTCCCTATCTTCTGGTGTTCAGATTTCTGCTTTGTGGTCAACTGTCGTTTGCAGTGTATTCTCACTGGATTATGGTTCCATTTAATGAAGAATTGATTTAAATTCTTCTCGTTGCAACACAACGTAAATGAAAATTTGCAGATACCAAACGTTTTTGTAAAATCATCGTATAGCTGATTCTTGCGAGTTCACACAAGCAAAACAAAAGATATGGGTGAAGCAAGCCTATTTAATTGAAGAAGTGTGTGCGCATGTTCGACAGAAAGCACTAGCCTTTTTCAGTTAAGGAGAGTTAGAGGGTAAACATTTATGTGTAGAAGAAAGAGAATGGGAGAGAACGAGCACAAATGAAGGCTCCACGAAATTTTTAAATCGTTTTAACAGATAATTGATCATGGATAGAATGACTAGGAGAAGTCTTCACACAAAGAAGAAACGTAAATGGTAGCCCTCTTGATCATGCATTACCCCCCGAAAAAAATATGGCCATTTCAACCAGTTGGTCGTTCTTTTTGCTAAAAAAATGTTATATTAATCACTTTGGCCTCAATTTGCGGTCTGCGAGGCTGCCGCCACATAGGTCATGTAACTTCCCGCACAAAGTTGTATCTGTACCCCGAGTTTGGAGTCTTTAGCTTCAAAGATGTGGCCGTACATAAGGAACAGACCCACAGAGAGAGAGACACACACACATTTGCCCTGCATGGTTAAATAAATGTAGTTAAAACACAAACTACAGAAAATACAAAACTCAATAACCACTAAAGCATACAAAGTTCCCAGAAACATTTCTACACAACTAAGCAAACATTCTTATGCCGTCAGACGAACTTCTTAATAAATCAATATATTACTTCAGGAAACATTTGAACAAAGATGCTTCATTAAATACCTTGAAAACTATCATGCATGATGATCATAGACATAAGTACTTCTCTCTACTAAACTTAGTAAACTCGTTATGTAACCTACGGCTACCTACTACTGATCAAACCAGTAGCTAGATATAGTGTTAAATTTATTTTGAAAAGGTATTTATGTAAAAATAAACTTGGTACCATATATCGGCAACTATGTAACTGCTTGTGAGAACAAGACTATATATATAAACGATAAAAAGCGAAATATTTGCTTGAAAAACAGAAAAAAAATCAATGTTTTACAATCATGGACATGGCCCATAAACGGCCACTCGTGTGTGCAAAAACCTATGGACAATCGTAGTGCGCATGCAGTGGCTGCATGTTGTAAAAATAGATTTTCCTTGCTACTGGATATAGTGGAGAAAAGTATAGGCTTTATCGAACAGAACCAAGCAATCAAACGACAGCCAAAGAGGAAGGTAGTGGTCCAGTGTGTACCTGATCCTTCCGGGTTTTTTGACCAAATAGCAACCACAGAGAAACACTAAATCCTGAGAATTATTACATATCCTTTATGCTAATAATTAGTTTTACAAATCAGCATTCTTGCTTGACTTGAAAATGAAACTACCAACAAAGTATTTGGTAAAGTTGATTTGTAAAGTCTGCATAGAATGCAGAATTTTTTAAAGTGTTTCTATCCGTAAAGACTAAACGGCGCCAATGTATAGGTTTATATTAACTAAATTTTTAATTAACAAAACAATGGGAGAAGTATGCTAATCTGTTTGTGGAAAAAATTCCCCAAAAAACAAGTGTGCTTTTAACCTTTGAACCACATTGTGGTATAACGTTATGCTGTTCAGTTTGTTACGAAACACTTGTTTGTTATAGTTTCAAATAAACTGATGTTTAATTCATTATTTTGTAATACTGCGCGTGTACCAACCAGTGAAAGGTTATTATCTCTAACACAACGTGCGGTTTCATTTATAAGCCACGCCCACATTTTACAATATATGTATATGAAAAGAACTAAGACTACTTGTGCATCTAATAAACTTAGAGAAAGACATCTGTTATCTAACATTAGCCAGAAAATGACACATTACATGCTCGTCTCCTTGATGTGCCTCTTACTGACCATCAGCCACGTGTGTAAGTTATTATTTTAGTTATTAAAACATGTATAGAAATATATCGTTTAATGGCTTAATAATGCTTACTTCAGATAATTATTTTATTTGAAGAATTATCTGATTGGTAGATTAAAGGAAAGAGTGAATGTTATTGATGACCTGAAACTGCTCATCACATTATCAGAAACCAACTAAAACAAAGGGTTAGAAATTAATTTAAATGACTTGAGATAATTTTGAATGTGTTATCCGTTATAAACATTAGCAAAAGGTCAGGTTGTACTTGCCTCGTTAATGGTAATGTGCTCTAAGTAGGCTTACCAACCCTCCCGGATTCGCCGGGAGCCTCCTGGAATCGCACATATTTCCCGGCTCCCGGAATGCTTAACAAATCTTCCGGATTCACTAAAAAAAAAAAAAACTAACGTAACGAAAGAACTCCTTCCTAATAACTTCGTCGCGTCGTCGTCGAAGTAAAGTAAGCGTCTTTACGTTTAGTACTAC